TAGTTGCCGCCAGTGGCGAATCACCTCGAGACCGAGGTGCGAGATATGACTGCCGTCGAGATACAAGCACAGTAGCATCGGCGGTAATGCAGTCGTGACGACCGTGGGCGCGATGGTGAATGCATTATACCGGAGCTCGAGGACCATGAGCGACGACGGGAGATCAACACCATCAAACGACGTCATGTTGGAGAAGAGCACGCGCAAGGCAAATAGCTTGGCGAAGGGGGCGAGGACGTGCGCGGGAACGCCATGCGGCAGCGGGCAGTGGTCGATCTCAAGGTAAAAGAGGCGGGTTCCCAGCGGCGCGAGCTGCGACTGCAGATACGCCACGCCGCCATCGTCGTCGTTGGTAGTCGTCGTTGGGCAGTGCACGTGAGCGTACGCGCAGTAGCAGGAGACGTGTCGAAGGAGCGGTGTCACGGCCACCTTGCACGTCGACGGACACACGCTCTTGAAACCGAGGAGCCATCTAATCCAGTCATAGACAACCTTTCCATCTTATGACTGCGTCTGTACATGATATTGGCGATGAGAACGAGTCCCCACAAAATAAGCGCGAGGCAGATGGCTTTGGCTGGGCGCGTGAGGTTTCGGTTCCAGTACTGCTGAAGTTCGGACAAGGACACGAGGCGGGATGCCATCTTTTCGTTGTGCGGCGCAATAGCGGCGGGGGGGCATGGTGGGGCCGTGATGGCACACGCACGGGCGCGGGGGGACATTTGGAGGACCGACTGTGCCAGCAGCTGCATGGTCCAAATGTTCAAGGCCCCCAAAAGCACCTTGCAGATGAGGCTCATGAGCGTGTTGCTAATGTACCCGCGCATGCCGAGCGTTGTCATCGTGAGCCAGCTCGCGTCGTTGCGCAGCTGCGACGCGATCGCAATCGGCTGGAACTTTTTGGCGTAAATGCGAGGCGCCAAGTCGAGCAGCGGAAAGGCCGTGTAGAGCGTAAACCTACGATTCGATGTGTCTCTACTTTTGCAGACAAGTTGTCCAAACTACCCGAGGACGCCGTTTAAAAAGAGACGGAGTGTCTTGTGGACAAAAGGCGCCCGCGACGTCAAGAGCAGTGGGGAGACGAGGCAGTTGAGCGCAATGCAACTCGTGTAGACACACACGACCGTCATAGACGTGACGTAGAACGAGAGCCGCCACGCTTGGAACGACTGCATGCCAAGCTCGAGCGCTTGAAACACACCTACAGTATTTGGTGGATAAGAGCTTGTGTGTACACGAGCGCGCATACAGGACGCGGTGCGCGTCTCCAGCCACAGAAACCGAGACGACGGGCGAAGATGGAGGCGTCGTTGCGAATGCAAAAGGCACAGTAGTGGGCCGATGGAGTAGAGATGCGCGAGAAGTAGCGCGATATTAGCGACAGTGGACGCGGGCACCGAGTAGACTTGGACAGTCCTACGTAGCGATTAAATTTTGAACCGAGCAATTGCATGCACGGACTGCGCCTCCGTTGGCGTGATGGTCAGCAAGGACCCGACCGTCAAGCCAAAATAGATCGCCGAGAGCGCATGCTTGAGCAAGCAAAAGACGAGCACCGGTCGTCGGACGTAGCGCTTGAGGACGACGATTGCGTCTGCCTTGATGGGTCGTGTCCACGCGAGCACGGCATTTCTCGACGAGGTCGACGAGAGTTGCCACCCCATTATGCTGGGAACTGCACGCGTATCGACAGTTGCAATGTGCCTCGAAACCCCTTCTCGCCAATTCGTTTGTCGCCGTTCAACAACAACGGCAGCACTGTCGTTGGCGGACAAAGCGTCCAAATTCGAATGAATTAAATCGTTAAATCATAGTCCAGCCTTTTGCCGAGGAGCAAGCGTCCATGTAAAATCACGTGCCCTTGGGCTTACAATGTGCACCCAAAAGTTGTGTTTCTAAACTCCGACACGGCGTATCCATTCGCCATTGAACCGTCATATCAGGACGTGGTATACTATACGTTGCTACTAGTATTGACTACGCTACGTCGGCCGGAAGTACGGGGTGCAGGTGCCGTCGTCGTCTGCAAACTTGGGCGTCGCGCACGGCGCGTCACAGAAATGGTTGTCCAATAGGGCTGGGGAGCACGCTTCGGAACGCGTCGGCGAGGGGCAGTACGTCGCATTGTGGCCTTGCACTACATACGCGGGCCAGAGCCCGCAGCGGACAGTCGCCGTGCACGTCACATCAAAGAGCAAGAGGGGACTCGCCGCGTCAAGGGGGAAGCGCAGAGTCGAAATGTCGGTCGACGAGAGGTAGACGTGCGTGAGCAGCGGCATATCAAACAGCCGTGTCGGAACTGTGGTGACAGTCGTGTGGTGCAGTGACAGCTCTGTGAGCTGCGGCAGCTCGTCGACGATAGCAGAAAAAACTGCATCCGAAATGCTCGTCTCGGAGAGATGCAAGGACGTCAACGGGTGCCACGCTTGCAACGTCGCTCTCGGGATATGCGCGATCGTGTTGCCATCGAGGGCGAGGTAAATCAAGTTGGGAGGCAGCGCGGAAGCGATCATCGCGGGCACTTGCGTGAGCTGCGAGTACCGAATCTCTAAATACAAAAGCGATGGCGGGAGGACGCCATCATACGCTGTCATGTTCGAGTACAAAATCCGCACGGCCAAAAGCGACTTAAACGGCAGCAAGAAGGACGGGGGGAGTCCGCTTGGAAGTGCGCACTGGGCAATTTCCAAGTAGAAGAGACCATCTCCAAGGCGCGACGGTGAAATCAAGGCGGTGAGGTTGGAACTCGCGTTCTCATCGCAGACGTGTCGGTAGTAGACGCAGTCGCACGAGAGGCGAAAGAGCGGCGTCACGTGAAGGACACAGTCCAGTGGACACGCAGCGCTGGACGGCTGCGCGACCAAGAGCCCGGTGGCCACGAGAAGCAACGCCCCCCAGCCCCCCAGTATGGCACAGAGCATCTTGGCTGCGACTGAGATTTGAAAATTCCAGTACCGTGCTTGGGGCAGCTGAGAGAGCGACGCGATGCGGGAGCTGCGTCGCAACGGCATCTCGTGCTCGGTGGGCCCTTTTACGGGGGACGGAAAAATTTGGCTCGCGCGAGGACCTAGCTTGAACGACGCAGGCTTGCGCTTGGGTGTATCCCAGATGGACGACACGAGAAGCCGGAGCGTCCAGAAATTGAGACCGGTGCTCACAATCTTGACAACGAGGCCAACGCCAGTCGTCGAGCTGAACCCGCGCGTGTACAGCACCATGGTTGTGACCCAGATCGGGTCGTTTCGGAGTTGTGAGAGTTGAACGCGTGGCATGGCGCGTCTCGTTAAGAGCCGGGGCACGAGCTCGACCAGAGGAAATCCAGTGGTGAGTGTAAACCTAACATGTCACGTTGGACGATATTGTCATTCTTCCAAAACTCGTCACCCAAAGATGCCGTTAATGAATAGGCGGAGGGTCCTGTGGACATAGGCGATGCGGGAGCAGAGCAACCAGGGCGAGAGGAGCGCATTGATTGCAATGCACGCCGTGTAGAGAGCGACGACCGGCATCGACGACACCATGTACGAGAGGCTCCATGCTTGGTACGACTGCGCACTGATCTCCAGCAGCTGAAACCAGCCTAGACCAAAAAATGATAATCGCATTGAGAAAAACGACAATTTCGAGCTGTACACGTCGAGGTGCGCGACTGCTGAACACGGTCAAAGCACTGGCGCAACAGCCCAAAGCGGGGACGCGCTTGTGCTTTTGGCTCCGAGCGCCAGACGAGCTGAGAGATGAGCTCGACGATGGTGTAGCCGTGGCACACGGCAGCGATTAGGCTGTAGACGATCGAGGCCGACGGCGAATATATCTGAATGGTTCTAACTCGCCAAGAATGAGACCTTGTCTAGTGGATACAGGACGTAGTACGCGGCTTCGTTGGGTGTCATATTGACGAGCGAGATGGTCACAACCGAAAAGTACACGGCCGAGAGCACGTGCTTCAGGAGGCAAAAACCCAAAATCGGGCACTGCAAGCACTCCTTGAGGGCTTGGATCGTCTCGTCCCCGGTAAACTCGTCGGTCGCTTCAAACGGCTTGGCAAGCCACTTGGTGAGACGGGCGTCCGAGACCGACTTGGTGAGCACCCCCGAGACGGACCGCGAGAGCGACGACCACGTCGACTGGCGCGAGAACGACGACCGCGTCGGTTGGAGCGGTTCCGAAGCCATTCCACTAAAAATACTACTGCCTTTCTACCAAGGCTCGCGCCCGTTTCGCTCGGAAGCCAAGCCAACCGACGTACTAGACATCAAACTCTCGCGAATACCCTGTCGTCTCTAAATCACGCTGACGCCTTTGTCCAGCGAACTGTTGACTGCGATCGTCGCCCGCCAGCGTTGGCGCCTTCCAGACCACGTGCTGCGGCTGGGCCGCGACGTTCCGGCCAACGTGGCTGCGGATCGCTACTTTGCCCCATCCGAGGCGCCCTGTTTCTTAGGACGCACCAAGATCACGCTGCCGATCGTCCTGCACCGCGACCTCCAGTCGCTGAGCCGCCTCAGTCGCTGGCGACTCCCGACGATTTTGACAAACTGCGTAGCTTTGCCGCCGACCGCAACGCCTGGAAAGATTTTACCGACATGTCGTCACGGGCCTCACCCGCGGCCACAAACGTCGTAGGCGACGACAGAAGAGCCAGACGAGCCCCGCGCCGCCGCCTGCGCAGCCACGGACCGGCGAGCGAATGAAGAAGAAGGAGATTGCTAGTCATTACGTATGCGAAGTCTTTGTGTAATTATGAAGATAACGCGAAACACGTTCATATATAAACCGCTTCAACTAGAAAATGGCGCCAAGACACAAATGTAGGTCGTTAAACACAATAGACCAATCAGCGCACAGATGCAAAGAATGTCGATCGAAAT